AGAATATTGGGATGTGCCAGGGATATTTTTATGGTTTAAGCGGGAACTAAGGCATGAATGTTAAAACTGGCATTATTCTAGGGGAAGTTTATGTGAGTAGGTATAAAAGGGTGCCACAGGTGTTACCACCGCGAGGTTGAGGGGACTAGCAATCAGAATGGCTCACTGGTGAGGCACCTTGCCGTAGGTCTGTCCTGTGCTTTCATTTGAATCCAATCACCTTTGCCTCCTTCCTGGTCTCCTTTTGCTTTGGGAGAAGCCTTGTGGGGCTGGTGGTGGGATGAATCGAAAAGATTCAATTTACAGGCGATCTTGGGCCAGATTCTCCTGCCTGCCAAGATCGCCTGTAAATTGATCTTTCGATTTCATCCACGCACCAGCCACCAAGGCTTTCTGCCAAAGCAAGGACGACCAGAAAGAGGAAAAGGTGATTGGGAGTTCAAATTGTAAAAGCAGAAGACAGACTACGGCGTTTGCCTTACAACGTGACGCAGTCGGTGCTAGTCTCAGCTCTGCGGTCGTGTAACACCGTTGTTGGGCACCCTTTATTAAACTAGCACATAAAATTTCCCTTAGAATAATCCAGTTTTAAACATTTGTGGCCTGTATTGCCGTTAAACCATAAAAATATCCTGGACATGTCTCCCAATTTATTTCTGGAGATCCAAAACTGGGGTATTAGAGACTGTTTTTTCCTATTGAATGTACACGACGAAAACAGCGATCATTTATGAGCCCAGGGGTCCCGATTCTTTTTGGCCGGTCGACTTAATAGTCACCATGATTTTCATTGTCAGTGATATTGCTGACTATTCTGGGAGTGGACTGTAAAGCAAACAGGTGCTCCAGGAACTCCCATTTCCGGCGTCTGGCATTGATTAGTGGTGTCTTCTCTCAGACTTAAAGTCTCCCGAAAGGATAGAGGCAATGCTGGTTTCAGTGACATGGCCAGCCAAGGATGATTGCTGGATGTGTTGAGCTCGGAGAAGGGAGTATCCCGAGAAGCAGGGACGTCCCTGGTCTTGTATTCGGTCACCCTTGTGTGGGGGAGCAAAGGAGCATGAGTTGGAAAGCAGCAAGAGAGATGCGACATGTGATGAGCTGCCTTTGTGATTAGTGGCCGAACTGGGGCATTTCTGAAAGTGCTTAGACAACAACCACTCTTCGATTCTAGTTATTCATCTGTGTGCATGGTCCCTGTTGTACCCTGACATCATCTTGCCCGTACCGTCGATCCCCAGGGCACTGTCCGTCAGAATTAAGCCGAGCCTTTGGAATCCAAGCCTTGCAACGGTGTCTACCAGTTTTGAATCACGGCGCGGAGACATGCTGATTTGGTCCTTGTACCTCAGCCAAGTCTGTGTGCCTCTACAGTAACGCTGGTTCCTCGGTGCTCACCCCTCTAGGGCGCGTGGACCTGTGGTCATCGTTATAGAAACTATCATCTATTGCCTTCAAACAACAACGTAACCTCCATGGGAAACCGAACGTGTGTCATTTGCACATGCCTAAAAAAAAAAAAAAAAAGGAGAAGGAAAGAGTTGATGAGTGGGTAAATAGGCAGGGCAAGGGAGGAAAGATGAAGACTAGGGAGAGCTCGGGTTGAACTGAGATGTATTAGAATATGAAGTTAGTGTTTACTAAAGGGCCCAGATTATTGTTCCGAAAGATCTAAATGGATATGTCCAATTAGAGCTTTTCTCTCTTTTTAAGAAGTTTTAATAACATTTTTTTTTTTTTGAGACAGAGTCTCACTCTGTTACCTAGGCTAGATGCCGGGCATCAGCCTAGCTCACAGCAACCTCAAAATCCCTGGGCTCAAGCATCCCTCTGCCTTCGCCTCCCAGTATTCTGGACTACAGGCATGCGCCCACCATGCCCGGCTAATTTTTTCTAT